TCAGCAAAACCTGAACACAATGAACATACCTGGTGTCATTCAGAAAACACAACCACTCAGAACTGAAAACACCTGTTGCAAATGATGTGACCACACCTTTATAAGTCAGTGCAGTTTGATGAAGTTTGAATATAGCCTGTGATGTTGATGAGGTCCTGTGGCCTGACCCAGCCCGACGACGTGATGCCGCCCAATGATTGCAGTGTCAACATACTGTACTACATACTGTAATAAAATAAATCACACCCGGACTATTGTGTTTCCAATTGTTACTGTACTGCAGTATCTATTGTGTCTAATGGATCCTCTATAGAGTTTACAGTACCCATGTTTTCATTGAGTTTTGATATAACTTCATTTTCTGCGTTATGTAACTATTCCCATGATATGCGCAAATCTATAGTAAAGGCCCAAAACATATTTGAGAATGAAAAAAGTGTTGCTCAAATGCATCCTGGCAGTTGTGAAACTGTAAAAAAGAACAGTCTCACATTCTGAAAATTGTGTTTTCAATTGTTTTGGTGATGTGGTTAATCATGCTCATAGTGTTCACATTTTTGCAGACCATGAGAGGTATTTTGGTGTGATGAGTCGGTTTTGAAAAGAGACTGTGTTGTTGTGTGTACGTAGCTTTAGACAAGAGGTTTGTGTTTAGAGTTTTGAGAAAAGGGAGGGCAGTATCGTGAAATGTGTTTAAGCAATAGAGAAAAACTATAAGAAGTAATAAAGTTCAGGATGACAAGGGACACTAAAATCCCCACAAAATCCGACCTTTATTAAAGTAGGTTCTCTGTCAGCTGAGGTCGCGCTGTTTTAGTTTACATTGAGTTCTATGTGGAACATTTCTGGGTAGCCCTCGTGAATTTAGTCTGGCCTAGTCTGCAGTACTGAGAGAATCCCCCGAATACATGGGTTCTTCAGCTACAAGCTAGTAATACCCTATCCAGTTATTATAATAGATCCATGGGCACATGGCCACGTTGCGGCTGCGCGCTCCCGTGCTGTTAAGCCGCTCACAGCCGCTGGACGCGGGAACCACTGTACAAAGCGGCCGCAGCTGCTCTGGGGCAGCAGCGGCCGCTTATCATTTTTTAATGTGATAAATACACAAAATTAATTAACTCGAGATAACACGATAATTTTGACATCTCAATTTGCATAAACAAAGAACAAAATATTTGTAGATTTATTTCAGTGCCATAACAATATTGTTTCACCCCTTCTAGAGGCAATCCTTTCATATTTACTCACAATAACAAAACACGTTGCAGGTTGTCACAAGAAGAAATAAAACTCAGATCTCCCAGCTTTAATATGTTTCATAACAAGCCTAACCTACAGAGACGACTTAACAATGGCTTCGCTACAGTTTAACCAGATCTGAAATTGCCTGCAAAGCCCACACTTCATCGGAGACTAAGCAGCATGAAGCCGTGACTGAATGAGGCTCCTCGTCCTCCTCTATGTGGGGTGCAACCACTTTTCCTGTGTGTAACTGAACAAATAAAAGTCTAAGTTCCGGGCTTTATATGGAAACAGTGTGGTTAGACGGTAGCCACAATCATTTTTTTTTTCTACACCGCATAAAAACAATGGTCATATTCATTCAATTAAAAGTTTGGTCATGGGATGTTGCTGAGGTGATGTGTGAAAGGTCTCCAAGCAAAAAAGAACTGACCTCAGCATTTTATCAAAACCAAGAAAACAAGCAGAAGTGGTTAGCATGAGTCACACGCAAATGTCTAAACCCAAGCGAAAAATCTAAAAAAAGGTTTGGCTTGGTTAGTAGGAGGGCTGATTACAAATGTCTATTTAACCCTCTCCAGACAGTCAACGCAGAGTCGCAACAGATTTCTTATTATTTACTCAGATCCATATTTTTGGCCCTTCAGAAGTACCATTGCTGCATGGACTCAGTTGAGCTTTAGCAAAACAGTTTTCCACCTGCTCACCAGGGGGCGGAGCTGTCTCACTTCCAAAATGTCAGTCCCCTTGGTTTCACCAAAATGGATTTTCTAGGCATCAATTTTGACTCAGTATTAAAACCAAATTCCAATCATTTGAAACCAAAACCGCTAACATAAAACGTCACAAACATATGATTGAAGAATTCATGTGACAGCAATTTCTTTATAAAATGAGTTGATTTCAGAGTCTTATTCTGAAAAGTAAAGTAAGAGACTAGGGCTTTCAATAGGGCTGCAACAAGTTAAGTGAAAGACCAACTATTCGACCTAGATAGAACCCGCTTCACTTGAGTCTTGTGTTTCTCAAGTGTAAAAAAAAAAAAAAAAAAGCACATATTCACTGACCTTAATTGGCCAACTAATAGAAAGTAAGTAAGTAAGTAATTCAGTAACATTATGCAGACCAAGGTCACCCAAAGCTCTTTAAAATGTTCAGAAATTAGATATTTTTCCATTCACAGAAGCGAGTCGCCGAACACACTGCAGCATCAAATCCCCAACCAACACCATCCATTCAGTCACTCATTAGATTCATACCTATTGTACATGTTTTTAGTGGTGGGGGAATCCGGAGCACCTGGAGGAAACCTACGCAGACAAGGCGAGAGAACATATAAACTCCACTCAGAAAGGCCCTGTTTCAACCAGGAATCGAACCCAGGACCTTCTAATTGCTTACCAAATAATCGTTAATAACAGCTAAAGTCTACGTAGCACAGGATAGGCTTTTGGGTGGCACGGTGGAGCGGTGGTTAGCGGTTGTGCCTCAGCAAGAAGTGGGTTCGATTCCACCTCCATACCTTTCTGTGTGGAGTTTGCATGTTCTCCCCTTGTCTGTGTAGGTTTCCTCCGGGTGCTGAGGTTTCCCTTACCACTAAAAATATGTTCATAATCGCTATTTACAGTACATAAATATGACTTACTTACTTATTTACTTACATGTATAGAAAGAAGCAGTAAAGGTTATGTTCTCTAATAGCTAGATAACTGTGGTATCGTAAAAGTATGAAAGCCAACACATTCAATCATTTTTTTTTTTTGGCCTGGTTTGAAGATACTTAGCTGAACCTCACATGAGAAATCGCCTCCTTTAAAACCCTTTGCGGACGTTGGGAAAGACTTCATTAAAGCTCCAATTGCCAATCTGGATTACCAACATCCCAGTTGGACATCCAGAAGGTTTCTCGTGCCAATACACATGTTACAGCGAGAAGAAAACTCAACACACAAGTGAAATATAACAGAAAGTGTAGAAAGTGTAGAGTGCTGAGTCCACACTGGCAGCGTCCGGACAGATCACAGCCAGAGCAAACACGGGAAGAATATCACAGTGAAACAGGAGATTTGGGAGACATTTCCATGGCATATATGTAAAGTTTGATTTTAATTTTGCAGGAGTGGGAGGAGCAGTGGGATAGAATATTGAACTGTTAACCCAGACGTAAGTAATGTTTATTTATATAGCGCATTTTAAAGACCAAGGTCACCCAAAGCGCTTTACAATGTTCAGAGTTCAGATATTGTTCCAATCATTCCACACACGGTGATGACGGAAGCGAGTCGCCGAACACACTGGCGCATCAGTTCCCAATCAACACCATCCATTCACGCTGTCATTTACATTCATACCTATTGTGCAATTTTTTAGTGGTAGGGGAAACCGGAGCACCCGGAGGAAACCTACGCAGACACGGGAACATGCATGCAAACTCCACTCAGAAAGGCCCTGTTCCGACCGGGATTTGAACCCAGGTCCTTCTTGCTATCCACTGCGCCACCACGCCGCCAATACGTGGTAGTATGGTGGCTGTAGATGAGTTTTACCGTCTCCCTTTGGTCTATAACTATAATGTATCCAGGAAGTCTCAGGAGAATAATATGAATCCAAATGAAGACAGCAATTTTTGTTTGGAGTTGCAACCATGAAAATACAGTAGAAGCCATGTTCTAATTTGTGTTCATTTTTGCGGCGATGGCAGTGATAGGTACAGCAAGTTTTTTTGTATAGCACAGTTCATACACAAGGCAACTCAAACTGAAAAAATTGACTCTTTAACAAAACAAGATCAGACAACGCATACGTAATTACAGTACATTCAAAAGTGGAAAGATAAATCCGGTTGTATATGCACACCAAAACGAAACTCTTTTTAACCTGGATTTGAACATTCTCAGATATAAAGCCTGTCTCACATTTTCAGGAAGACTGCTCGAGGTTAGCAGTGGTTATATTGCTGTCATGAATAGCACATATGATAATCTGTGTTTGATATGTTTTCCTGCTAATGATCTACTGCACTGAGAAGTTTATTTCAGTAGTTTTCCACATTTACCAGACCACAAACTACAAGCTGGTGATGCCAATTGCTTGTCTCCAATGTAGATGAGTTCAATGCCATTGCCCTGCGGAACATTCCATGGAATATCACACCTTTTCCTAACTTTAAGTTCAAAAAGCATGTTGGGAAAAAAATAGCATCAAACCAGCGTACTTGCTTTTACACAGACCTGACTCACATTTGCCCTGGGGGATAGTTTCAATGAAATGGGTTCAGTGATTTATATCCAGGCAGACGTTTAACCCTTTGATGTTCACTAATTGAAGAAAGTTATGTGTTTTTTTAACCCCTAGTTTTGTTTTTTTTTCGTCTACTATAGGCCTTTACCAAATGGTTGAGATGCAGTTTGATGGTATAAAGTGCCTAAACCCAAGTGATAGAGTTGCCCCAATGAGGTAGATTTCAGTTCCAAGCTTATAGACTCAAAAAGTGATCCACCAAATAGTTATGGAAGCCATTAAAAGGGTTCATCTAACTGTCTATCTCCGTGAAATCACGCAAAACTGAACTTTTCCTGCAGAAAGTTGCGTATTATCACTTAAAGTTGATTGTTTAGTAGAACTTTCCTAACACCAGCCAAAGCAGAAAAGCCCTACAATAACATCAAAGTAACCCATGCATCAAACAGCATCCAAAACTATTTCCTTCTGCTCTCCTCGGGCAGTCTCGTATACAAACACAATCTCGCACTCACCGCTATAATGACTTTCCAGTGGCTGTTCTTCTTGCGGGACGCGCGTCTTTGGATCTCTGGGTCCCCGGTCCTGAACAGAGACGCAGCCTGCTCCGCGCTGCGCTGCTCACCCGCTGCTGCTTTGGTTGGCTCCATGCTGGTCCCAGAGAAATGGAGATTCCCGGTGTGTGTGAGTGAGTGGAGTCATATGTGCGCTGGTGGTCTGCAGTGTGTATAAGCACCGCCTCGATCCTGCATGACGTGTTTAGTTTATATGACTTCTACGCGCGGTGGATGGCCCCTCTGCGCGTTTCAGGACAGACGCACGTTCCAGTCAGCAGTCATACAGGCTGGACATGGCCATAGCAAACATGAGAAGTGGTAAAGAAACGTATTTAGAGTAAGAATATGCGTAAAAAATATGTATGAATGGAAATAGAATGCACGTGTTAAAACTCAAACGTTAGGTCTTGTGTGTGTGAGACTGACATCTAGTGGTGAAAGAAAGCACTTGTGACAATATTAAAATGATCTGTTTGCTGGTTATACGATTTCGATATTGTCAAGTGTTTGGTTTTATTCAGGCCTTTTGTTTTGTCAACCAAATGCGCTTCAGAATTGACAAAAATAGAGTGACAAAAAATAGGGCCGTTTTTATACTGATTCACGAATCTCAAAAATAATTGTATATAAACTGGGGGGGGGGGGAATAAATAAAACTTTAGAATATGCCCAGGCCAGCACACAAAACCACACTTTAAACATAATGTAGCCTCCATTAGGACTATAGAATACTAGAACAAAGGATCTCTTTGGTCAATGAGTAAGCAGTCATGTAGAAGTACAATGTTGTGAATAAATCAGACCACAACGTGTATTCATCTAATTAGAAAATATATTTTTGTGTGCATTCTTGTATAAAAGTATTTGATGTCTCTGTTTGACACTTTGGACAGATTACTGATTGGCTGAGGGATCTGAAGGTGCTTCTCTCTGTGTCACTTTTATGTCTGAAAATTACAGAAATTCGTCATGCAAAAACTAGTTATAGATGTTTTAGCACCAGGAATTTCATGTCTTCATGGTTTTGTAGTTTTAAAGTGAAAAACCCCAAATTGAAATATTAACTTTCTAACCTTCTAATTAACTTTCTTAAACTTTCTAATAACATAAACAGTACTACATTGACATTCCCCAGTCTATTCAACTACCACAGATGTATATAGCTGCAGTATGGTTTTGACCTAAACAAGAAGTGTATGTGAGTTCATTTTCAGGTGCTCTGACTCCCAGTACCCAGAATGCATCTCTCCTCTGGTAGTTGTCGCACATCTGGAAACATTTGGGGCCATGTGTGTTTTGTGTTATGTAAACACAGTGGGGCCAGGGTCACACTCACTGTTACTTTCACGCAGCTCTTTACTTCAGCCAAACATCTTTATGGACAATACAAATGCAATACTACAATGTAAAAGATGCAATATATATATATTGGTGAATCTGAAATAGCTTTTTTTGAGACAGGAGCCCATGCTGTTAGTTAGTCTGCTCATCAAATATCGGAATCTTTTGTTATGCCACAAAAAAAGTAAGGCTTTCATTCGTCGTTCATTGCATCAGCCCTTGTTCTCCACAAGATGGCGCTGCTGCATAGTTTATATCCCTATAGTGATCCCTGTTTCCAACGTTTGTCATACAATATTTCTAATTTCGACATGAGCTCTTCTATCGTGTGAGGTCCAGTGTTTTCTCCTTGTGTCTGGCTTTCCACTCTGTTTTAACCTTTTCACTACTGACCCATCACCTGCTGCTGGATTTCTTTGTTGAAGTTTTGGACTTTTCTTGTTCTTTTTGATATTTCCCCGCTGTTATGTTGATTTGAGTGAACGCAAAGAAGACTCCAGAGAACAGCATGTGGCCCCCTCACAGCTGTTCACAAGCTCAACACGTGTTTGACCCGAGTGTGCCTGCTCAGAGATATCTCAGGACAGATTCTAACACCACTCCTGACCTCGAGTGTTGGTGGCATGGGAATATTTTCATAACTTTGTGCCAAAATAAGCAGAGGTGGCAAAAGGTCTTAGGTACTAATGCAAACATTCTTTGTATTAGTGGAGTGAGTAAAAATACTAGATTGTTGGACAGACCCACAAACACACAGATTGATAGATCCATTGCCACACACAAACTTGCATGCTCACACACAGACACAAATGGACACACACACACACACACGGAGCGAGGCACCCACCATACTAATTCAGTACATACAAAGGACTACATGGACTAGCCCAACCTTGTGTATCGGCCTTATTCAAACCTACTGTAAGACTTCAAGTGGACTGAGATCTAGGGCCTTTTCCAGAGGAGACTGTGAGGTCCCCTTCAAAAGAACTACCTCTGGACAGAACACTCTCCGTGAGGGCCATGAACATCTGGAACAGTCTCCATCTGCACTTACGGGAGCGTCCTACACTGGTCAGCTTTAAAACTCAAATCAAATTATGGCTGAAAGTGACCACTAGACTCTTAATTAGCAATATGTAAGATTTTCATGTCAAGTCATCATTAAAGGGCCCTAATCTGTCAAAAGGCCTTAATAAATCATGCTCTTTTTGAATACTTATTTAACTGATAACAGTTGTTCAACAAGACATAGAACTCACTGCGTTGAGCTAATCTCACCGGTAAAGTAACATATCAGTACTAAAAAAAGGGTCTTGTTATGATTCTCAAATCATTTATGACAAAACAAGGATTAAAACAAGGATTTCTATAGGGGCCGTTATGAAAAAGTTGTTTATAGATTTGTTGTTGACAAAACTCTTGTCTATTCAGATATTATGGTCCCAGCTGGATTTGTCTGTATTTCTGGCAACCTGAGTCAGGGAGAGTGGAGAAGGTTGCAGTACCACTTTTGGCCAGATTATTACACATACTGCTCCTTTAACTTTTCCTTGTGCTGCTCGTGTTGTATTGTTTCATGTTGGATTTTATTGTATTGTGTGTTGTCATTTCGTATGTATTTTCCTGCCTGGGGACTACGGGTGAAAACGAGCTTTGTAGTTACTGTTACGATATCCATAAAGAGACGCGAGCAGCCAGCGTTCCAGTTAAGGAATCAATCACTTTATTAAAGCAAAACAGGTGCAATTTATTGAGCTACATGACATCAGTAGGGGTCCTCGCAGGAACCACATTGCCTGCTAACAAATAAATCATAATAAATGAGACTGCATTTCCCATAATGCTCAACACCCCCAGTCAGGCTCATTTTTACAGAATACAAAACAGAAAAAAAAACAATACTACATTATTTTCCAAACAAATAAGATTTGAAAATGTTAAACTTTACATTTGTTAAGGGTTTGGTCAGCACAGGGTTTGGTACTTCTCCTGTCAGTCTGGTCTGACACCCAGTCAGCATCGCTATAGCCTTTGAGGTAACGTAATACCTGTTTGGAAATTTCCCAGTGCTGACGTGTTGGCTGTTTTAAGTTCTGGGACAATTTACTGACCACCCAGCTTGCATCCGGTCTCTCAGTCTCCGGTCTCTCAGTCTCCGGTCTCTCAGTCTCCGGTCTCTCAGTCTCCGGTCTCTCAGTCTCCGGTCTCTCAGTCTCCGGTCTCTCAGTCTCCGGTCTCTCAGTCTCCGGTCTCTCAGTCTCCGGTCTCCGGTCTCTCTGGTCTCCGGTCTCGTCTCAGTCTCGGTCTCTCAGTCTCCGGTCTCTCAGTCTCCGGTCTCTCAGTCTCCGGTCTCTCAGTCTCGGTCTCTCTCAGTCTCTCCGGTCTCTCAGTCTCTCTCGTCTCCGGTCTCTGTCTCCGGTCTCTCAGTCTCCGGTCTCTCAGTCTCCGGTCTCTCGGTCTCCGGTCTCCGGTCTCTCGGTCTCCGGTCTCTCTCCGGTCTCTCAGTCTCCGGTCTCTCAGTCTCCGGTCTCTCAGTCTCCGGTCGTCTCAGTCTCCGGTCTCTCAGTCTCCGGTCTCTCAGTCTCCGGTCTCTCAGTCTCCGGTCTCTCAGTCTCCGGTCTCTCAGTCTCCGGTCTCTCAGTCTCCGGTCTCCGGTCTCTCAGTCTCCGGTCTCCGGTCTCTCTGTCTCCGGTCTCTCGTCTCAGTCTCCGGTCTCTCAGTCTCCGGTCTCTCAGTCTCCGGTCTCTCAGTCTCCGGTCTCTCAGTCTCCGGTCTCTCAGTCTCCGGTCTCTCAGTCTCTCAGTCTCGGTCTCTCAGTCTCCGGTCTCTCAGTCTCCGGTCTCTCAGTCTCCGGTCTCCGGTCTCTCAGTCTCCGTCCTCTCAGTCTCCGGTCTCTCAGTCTTAGTCTCTGGTCTCTCTGTCTCAGTCTCCGGTCTCTCAGTCTCCGGTCTCTCAGTCTCCGGTCTCTCAGTCTCCGGTCTCTCAGTCTCCGGTCTCTCAGTCTCCGGTCTCCGGTCTCTCAGTCTCCGGTCTCCGGTCTCTCTGTCTCCGGTCTCTCAGTCTCCGGTCTCTCAGTCTATTTTCATTTGTTTTATACTGATGTCCATTAATGTGCATTGTCCCTATCAAATAAATAGATAAATAAATAAAATACAGATTCGACAAAATATAAAAACATGCAGTCTTTAAAATATTTACTTCACGCTGGGCTACCAACATTTCAAACCACAACCATAACTCTCTAATGAAATGCATCAGACTTTAGTTCCTTACTGTCACATCTTTAGATCAGCTTTTTTCAGCAGAAAAGGGAAAAAGAGAAGGCCACCCTCATTCAGCCAATGCCTGTCTGTTCTTTTTACTGTTATAAGATGAACAAAAAACAAATGTTTGGTACAACACAGTTGTTCTTGCGTGCATTCAAGGTGGGGGACATTAGTATGAGCCGTTTAAACAGGGTTAGGGTCGGTCCTGTGGTGGACAGACGCTTGAACTGCCCGTTCACTACCGCTTATGTTTTTATTCATGATTGGCTGCAAGCAAACTCAACACACACATGACATTGCAGATCGCTTCCACAGAAACTGAATTTCAGCTCATTCTTCATCTCTGTTTCACAGACAATCGATGTTCTGATGAATGTCTGAGTCCAGCTGATCCAGAGGGGTAGAATATTTGTTTTTGTCAATTCATTGAATTTATGTTTTTGATCTGTTTTTCATGTATTTTCTTCATAACCCCACGGAAAG